TAAAAAATTTTTACTGGAAAATAAATTGTACAGACTATCGGGATAAATGGTTAAAATAATATGATAAGAAAAAGTTAAATGAGATATATAATTGTACACATTAAAATCTATAGAGAAGGAGGGTTGGAAAAAATTAGTCACGTCGCTTCAGAAAAATCTCAGTAATTTGTTTTCTACTAAATTTATCGTAGTAATTTAAACTAAAAAGTTTTCGAAAATTCTAATAATAGAAGTCGCATTAGTCTTTATTTATACCACACTACTTGTAAAGAATATTATAAGCACTTAATTGAATACATTGAGATTTTTGGAGATTTTAAACACTTAATATCTTAAAATATTACTTAAATATGTACAAACACTTTTAAAATCTAAAAAGTTCGAATTGGTTACATAGTATTCTAACGTTTTAAAAAACTTCAAAAATATTAATCAAATACACCCTTTTAAAGTAGGGAGTCGGTGCTCATTGTCTACATACATTGCAAACATGAAGTTATCTCTCCTCAATTTTTTCCCAAAACTTACGTAACCTTAGTTCTTCTTGCGTCGTTCCATTGAGCCTCTCTGTCGTGGGTGCTCTGCACCCCATGCTCTGGCCCTCATTTGCACCTGAGGCAAACTGTGGTCAATTCCTCCTACACTCTCCGGCGTGACACCTCGCCTTTATTGGTTTTCCACGGCGGATATTGGAGGGTTCGGCTCGACAACGAGTTTTATCTTGGTGGGCTCCGGTTTTGTCTTGCGGTGGCTGGGTTGTGGCCGTTTCCTTGCAACTTCTGTGTCCCCATACTTAGGGCTGTAAACGAGCCGAGCCGAGCTCGAGCTTAAGGAGTTTGAGCTCGAGCTCAAGCTCTTAACGAGTCGAGCCGAGCTCGGCTCGTTAAGTAAACGAGCAAAAAATCGAGCTCGATCTCGGCTCGTTAAGGCCTCGAGCTCGAGCCTTAACGAGCCGACCTCGAGCTTTAACGAGCCAAACTATAAAAAATTATATAAATTTCACTTTTCGAGCCTTAACGAGCCTTATCGAGCCGAGCCGAGCTCGGCTCGTTAACCAAACGAGCTTTAAATAAGCTCGAGCTCGGCTCGTTAAGGCTTCGAGCTCGAGCCAAACCGAGCCTTAACGAGCCGAGCTCGAGCCGAGCCGAGCCAGACTCGTTTAATTTAACAGCACTACCCATACTCTCCCTGTTGTTGGAAAAGGGGAAGGGGTGGGGGATCTTCTGGCGGACAACTTTTTTCGCCTGTGGCGTAGAGGTTACGATCGTCGGCTATTTTTGGGGGAGGGGTTTTGGGGCGGGTTGCCAGGTGTGTCCCGGTGGGGACTTTTTCTGGTGCTTGGGTCGTTGTTCTGCCTCTGCTTTTAGGTGGTCCCCTGGGACTATGGCTCGAGTTGTGTGTGTGTGCAAGGTGGCTTTTTTGTCGACGGGAAGGGCTTCTTTTTAGCGTTTAGTTTTTCGTATAGGAACCTTCCAAACGGGGTTGCTCAATGATTCTCGATGGGGGTGTCTTCGGACCTCGCGATCTGATTCTCGAAGACATACCGCTGGGAGGTAGATATTTCGCTGGCGGAGGCGATGGCGTTTTGTCTGATTAGGTCTCGCCGGTTTACATGTTGCTAGGATGGTGAGGATGGCGGCGACTTGCCGATGTTGTTTCAGCGTTAGACGAGACTCTGCGTTCCTTTAGGGTGGGTCGTGGCCTTGTTCCTCCTTTGGGGTTCAAGATGGAGCTTTCTGCCACTAGCCACCGTGTTCTCCCATCTCTGGTGTTGGGCAGAGGGGCTAGCCGGTGAATTTAGGTTGAGGGCTGGTTTTTTGGTTTTCTGGGACCGATTTGCTGGTTCATTCTGGGTAGTTTGTGATGCGATTCTCCGGGCGCGGATCTCGAGTATCTGTGTGGGCGTGAGTTGTGCCCGTCGGCGGCCGACCCAATTAGGCATTTTGTTTGCCAGTTTCTGCTTCAAGCTCCTGGGCTGTAGCTCTGTCCACTTGATTGGATGTCTGTTGGCGTCGCCATGGGAGGCTTGGTGTGGTTGACTGTTGTGGGAAGGGGAGTGTTTTCTTTCAAGTTGTGTATTGGTGTTTTTTACTTGTTGTGTGTTCTTATTTCTTTGTTTTATTGTAAATTGTTGTTCTGTGTTTGTTCTCCCGTTTGAGAGTTGTGATATTCTCCGGTATGGAGTTGTGTCATGCGTGTTTGTATTTATTCATTTTAGTATTCTGTGTTTGGTTGGTTCTAGGCTGCCTCGGACTAGCTGCCTATGGGTTTATCCTCCCAACTAGATTGAGTTGAGTAGCTGACTTATTCGGGTGTTTAATTGCTGTTTAGTATGTAAATATGTATTTTTAATATTTCATTATAAAATTATGGTTATTTTCACAACGGTCTCATAACGTTTAAAAATAAATCGAATTGGACTATAGTGCATACTAACAGTTTTCTGAATGACTATAATTTTAAAATTTACCCGTAATAAAATATCACACCATCTCTTTTTTTTTCAAAGACAATCTAAGAAATTTTATAACTCAAATAAGAAGTACTGATACAACGAGCAATCAATATATTACAAATCCTGAATAACCTAAAAGATTACAATAGGGATACGAAGGAGGATGCACCACCCCCTCAAGGACCAACAAGGTCTATAAGATTACTACTTCTAAAAAACCAAACAAGCTACAATATTACAAAACTCAAACAAAACCATAATCTCCTCCACCTAAGGCTGCATGATGACTACTACTAGACACATATTTGTTCAGAAGATTCATAGCATTTGCATCGTTCAGGTAGCAAGTGCCAGGTTTCCCCTTAAGCTCTTTGTATTGCCTCAAGCTCTATTTGACACCTTCCAAAGTGGCTTTTGTTCCATCCATGTCACCTGTTGTACTTGGTATTATGCCTTCCCAAGGCAGCTTGTTGATCATTTGTGCCTGTACGATTCACTTCAACCTTACCTTCTTCAGTTGGCTGAGCACTGATGGCCAACCATGGCCTTCCTACTCTCTATGAGGCTCTATCTGAGTTAGGTTCTGTTCTTCTCATCAGCCTGTTTGCTTCTCATTCCAACCACTCTGTATGTGCTCTCCTAACAATGTCCTACTCATTGAACCAATCACCCTTGAAGACCCATTTGTTTCTGGCCTTCCACAGGTTCCAGAGCAAATGGACAGTGTAGGTGAGCCTCTCCTTCACACCATCTCTTCTTGTCATTGTTTTGTCTACTTTTAAAATCTGTCGAAGTTATATGTAAAGATAGTGAAAAGTTACAACTTGTTTAAAAAGCATTTTCAAATGAATCTATACTAATATAAAAAAGTTGTTGGTAAAATCATTTTTAGTGATCAAATTAAACCCTAGCCTTCGTCGCTTTAATTTTCGGCCTAGTTGACCTCCTCCGACGTTGGCGTGGCCGGGCCGACGGTCGCCTCGACTGCCCGGCTTGTCCCTGAAGCCGTTCTCTCTCATCTCCGTCGATTTGGCACAAGGTTGCTGGCGAGCTGGAATCGCGGGCTCTCTCCGTCGTGCGAGGTCAGGTGGCTTGCTGGTTCTTGGAGCGGGCGGTTGTCTCCGATAGGGGGAGTTGGTCTCGCGTCTCCGGTGGTTCAGCGCCTTGCCCTTGGGTCTTTTGCAGGGGACGACTCCGTTGGAGTTTTGGTGCCGGGTTGTCAGATTTTGTGGTGGCGATGGGACGGCGGTGGTCAGTGGATGGGGTGGGGCTCGGGTGGCCCGTTTTGGTGCTGCCGGAGTAGGGCCTCAGGCTTCGAGCTGGCCCCTCCGGCTTTGTTTGGTCGGAGCCCGATGTACCCAGAGCTGCCTAGTGGTGTTAGGTGCACTTGGGGTGCGTCGGGTTGGGGTTGCTCGCCTGCTTGTACCCTCAGTTGGTGGCAGATCGACTCGCAGTTTGGTTCGGGGGCGGGGGTTCGGTTCCTGTATAGGCTTAATTGCAGTTTCGGGCGTTGTTCCTTGGCTAGGGGCCGACCTGTGATCCGGTTTGCTGTTTGTCCGGCCTCGTCTTCTTAGGGGGAGGGTGTGGTAGTTTAGGTTTTTTCTTGCTCGTTTTGTTGTGTTGTTCTTGTTGTTTTATTGTGTTTTCGGTTTGGGTCGTTGGCCCCGGTTTACATTTCTCTGTTGGGGGTTTGTATTTTTGTGTTTGTGTTGTCTAGGATGTGTTCTTGGTTTGGGCCGTTGGCCCCAATATCATTACCCTGTTGGGGTCGATCTTATTACCCCTTTGGGGCCGGTTCTATTCTCCCTTTGGGAGCGTAGCTTGTTGTTTGTCTGTGTCGTTGGTTCTTGTGTTGGAGTTTGAGTTGCTTTTCTTTCTGCCTTGCTAGCGATTCTAGGTGGACTTCGGTCTGGCCTCTCAGTTTGTATTTTCGCACATTTGTGCGCTTATCAATAGTACTTCTATCGTTTCGACCAAAAAAAAAAATATATAAATTGAGTGTGAATTTAGTTTATTTATCAAAAATTCTATGAAGCCATCGAATGACTCTCTTATAGAGGCATCCATAACTTTATCTACTGACATATATTCAATATGCATTTATTGCAGGACACGTGTCACTACATCATTTGTGAATAACAATGGATGACTCGATAAGCCGAGCCATCCGATGACTCCATAGTAAAAACCGGTTTATTTATATACAAAGTACAAACACACCCAAACATAAGACTATATAGGCCAAATTAGCCATCTAATCTTATCTAATCTTACCGAGTGTTTATAATAATGGTTGAGTCGGTAGTTGGTACATCTCGAATTGAAACTTGTACCCTGCGTTATTTTCACGCCGTATATATACACACGCAACAAATTCCTGAGGGTCCTCCGTGAAACGCAGCGCGTCCCACCTATTTCCGCCATCCGATTCCTTCTCTCTAAAATTCAAATTTGGTATCCTCTCGCCAAAACCCTAGCTTTCTCTCTCTACATTCCTCTGCATTTTCTGCGCACACTTTTGCAATTCAGTCGGACAATACAAGCGATGAGGAAGGGTGCTAAGAGGAAGACGACACACAAGGGCGAGCCTCCGAAGAAGCCGGTGGCAGAGGCGGCGGCGGCGGCGGCGGTGGAGGAGCTGAAGAATGAGCCGAGCCAATCTTCTGGCCAGCCGGTCGAAGATAACAACTTACCGGAGGGTTTGGATAATGGAAAGCCGGAGCCGAGCGATAAAGCGGCTGCCAAGGGTAGACGTAAGCGAGCCAAAGTCTCCAAGCCTGAGACGGAGACCGAGTATTTTCCCGAGAAGCGAAATTTGGTAATATCTCCAACCGTCTAGCTTGTGGTTACATGAATTGATGAACAAATCGGTGGTTGTGTGTAAGCTATTTTTTATTTTTATTTTGTTCGGGGGTGTTTGTGGTGTGTATGTTTGAGCTCTTAGAATTGACTTGGATAGAATGATAGGGTTTGGACAAAGGGAGTTGGGCTAAGGATATCAATGGCATCATTTTAGTTGCATTCTAAGTCCATCACGATGGTATGAGATAGGTAAAAGCTGCTGTGGTATCATTTAAAATGAATTGTGATGTGAAATGCTTTTAGAAAGGTGGAACTGTTTAAAAATATTTCTGTCCTTCATCAAGTGATTCTAGTGCAACGAATTTGCATTTTTATTGTCTGCTGCCTGAGATAGATTCTACTTTGTAATTAAGATATTGAGGATTTTTTTTTATGTTTGTTACATCAAAAAGATCAAAACTTTATATGCATTATACATTGTACAGGAGGATCTCTGGCAGCAGGTTTTTCCAGTTGGTACAGAGGTATGTATGATTAATTTATTTTTGATTTGGCAAGTTTCATGAAGTTTTGCTGTTCTTAATTTAATGTGATGTTATCTATGTAATTATTTGGTTGGCAGTGGGATCAGTTGGACATGGTGTATCAATACAATTGGAACTTTTCTAATTTGGAAGTGAGTTGCTCAAGTTACTATTTAACCAATGCAATAAAATGATAATATTTGTTTCCTGTTTTCTCGGCGGTGATTCAGTAGCTTATTTAGGTGTGCATGTATAATGAAACCATTTGGAGACTTAAGGAACTAATTTGGTGATAATGCTCGGGTATTTTGGCAGGATGCATTGGAAGAAGGAGGTGAATTGCACAATAAGACGGTCTACCTCTTTGGTTGTACTGAGCGTAAGTAACACTAATTCATGGGTCTGCCATTTTTACCTCTTGAGTTTTCCGCTCCTATCTATATTTCTAGTTTCTACAGCTGTTCTATGATCTGAGAGGTTCTGTAGCTGGGCTCTTATTTAATGTCAGTTATGGTTTTGCATTATTTTATGCCATCAGTTTGATGAAATGTTTCTTGCTTCAATTCAAGTTTAACTTCTTAATGGTTTTTAAACCAGTGTTTAGTAACTTCTGACTACTGTCTTCGTCAATGTTATGTAAATGACTAAATTGTATTAATTGCCTTTAACTAACCAACTGGTATTTCTGCAGCTCAATTGGTCTCTTTCCAGGGTCAGGCAAAAGTTACAATGATCCCTGTGGTGGTAGCTGTAAGTCCTTAAACTTGTTCAGTGATGGAAACAGTTATCTATTGTGGCATTCATTTCCCTTGCTATTTTCATGATATTATCTGGCTTTTTTTTATCCATTTGAAGTTAAATATGTTAAAAAATATTTTAAGATTTTCCAAACCGGTGTAGTGAATGATTTGTGCCTGGTGCATCCTAAACAAATTAGGTTATTTATGTAAATAGAACTATATTAGTAATTGCATGCTTGATATTTAAGCTCTTGAAGTGTTAAGGTGCTTGGTTGTCGCTGATATGCTGTATCTAAATACCGACAAGTCTTTTGTTATACTTTTTCTTTGTTCTTGCATTGATGTGTGCCAGTTTATAGACCTCAGAAGTATTGTTCTTGTGACTTATATCAGTAATGCTAGTAGCATAGCATCTTTTATAGTCACCTCAGCAGACCAGCTTATGTTGGTGAACCTTTTGTATATAGCCATCAGAATTGTAGGTTGTAGTCATCATACACTGTATCTATAGTTGTCTGTCTCTAGTGCAGTTCTTTTTATGTCCTGGCATGCTGAAAAATTCTGTTTTCTGTGACATTTTCCATTAACAGATTGTATCACCCTTTCCTCCCTCGGACAAGATTGGAATAAAGTCAGTTCAAAGAGAAACTGAAGAAATTTTGCCAATGAAGCAGATGAAAATGGCCTGGGTTCCATATATCCCACTTGAAAAGAGGTTTTGGTCCTCTCATT